GTAGAGGATGATAGTAGCTAGGAGTCTATGAGACTAGACAGTCGTCCCTCAAGCGCATGCTATGGTCCTTATTATTATTTGTCCGTATTGTAAATACTGACAGACCATTTACAATCTTAGTTGGGAAAGTGGACGAATCGCTGGAACACGAATCAGCCAATCTTGAAAGCGCTGTTATTGTGTTTTTTTTTAACCTCGAATATTAGCTTATTACATAGGAAAGACGACGGAACCTGTTACAAGAATGGCTATGAACCTGCCAACAATACCAGCAGACTTGTCGTACGAGCAGTACTGCAGACGTTATCTAGACAATGAATCCTACATTCCACTGATGTATCAGAAAGCTGGATATAAAGTACTACCTTATTTAACATATGAAGGAAGAAAGGATTTCACGCAGAAAAGTACTTTTTCAGATGTTTGGAGCTGAAGACTCCCCGACGGCCAGCGTTCTCCACTACCCTAATTGCCTTGGTACGAAAACGAGACAGTTTCAGCATTCGTACAGGTGTGAGGCATTTCTCTCTCGCTTTTTTGGTATCAGCAAAAAGGCAGCATCAGAATGAGGAGCAATGATGGGTTCCTCTACCCCTAAATTTGGAATTCATTTTAACCGGAGAAAACTACAAAATGATCTGCGTTTAGCTTCGTACCGTTTTACTTACCACGGCTGGCTTCACACCATTGAAATAAAGGTGAGTCTGCCTCAGGATTCGACAGGATAGGATGACGGGAGCTGGGATCTGCTTCCGAAACACTTATCATAACTTCAGTCCTGACTCGGAACAGGTCAGAGTTCCAACATGCGTATTTCTTCGAAGAATGAATGACACTGCTCTTTTTTGAGGATCACGGCTTTTCTTTAGTTGCTCTTCTTTAGTCTCCAGCTTGAGCCCTTCTAGCGTTTCTCCTCGTAATAACACTACCATTAGCTTCACAAGAATGCTGGATTGTGAACAGAACTTCCGCCCAAGACGAGGACTCAAACCCGCACCTCTTGCTCACCGGACAAGTGCGCTCCAAGTTACTTCAATCAGTTACCGAGGTACCATTTCTTCCCAACTCAGCTTTCGAATTAGTGGCCATAGTTGCTTAATGGCCACATAGGTAAATTGTCGGTGTTCAAAGTCCAACAGGGGGAGTCGTGTTTGTATGGAGAGAAGGCGAAGGAAGGTTGTATTCGTATCGTAACGCGCGGATTTCTTTGGAGCAGGTCCCTGGGGGATGATTAATATTACAAGAAACCTGAATATGGAAAGACGTCATTAGCCTAAATCGCCACGAAATCGACGGGATAGACAGATACGGCTGAGGCTCGCAGCTGTGGGTTCAAACTTACAGCGTCGCATGGTCAGAATCGAAATGGATGGCTGTGGCGGCCGTAGATGGTGGGCATAAATTTTGACTGCTTCTTCAACCCTTAACCACAAACGAATGCAACGTCTCAGAGTATGATGCATCTTACTGCGGAAGGGTCTATTAGTTTTTGCGCGCGCGAATGTTCCTGTACAGAAAGCCCGAGTTTCCAGACTAAATCTCAGTCAGCGAAGGGGCATCACTTGAGCAATGACTTTCGGAGACGGAAGAAATTTTCGGAAAGCTGCTTTGTGATCTTTCAAGGCGGATTGACCCATTGAAGACCTGTATGTTGAAAACCACGTTTTCAGCAAGGTAGCTTGAAAACTGATGAAGAGACGAATCACTGGTACGGAAGTGGGGAGGGGGGAAGGGTGGTCGTATCGCAAGTTTCCAGAGAGGAACCCAACTTTTGAAATCGGACCACGTGGTGGCCGATCCTTATAATTCCTGAAAGTATTCATCATGCAATCATCTCACAGCGCAGGACAGCGCCTCTTCACCAGGACCATTAGCAAAAATCAAGTTTGGACGGTCCGATGAGATCCCTTAATTTTCACAAGTCTTCGGCATTTAGGCCTTTTCAATCAAGGCTGAGCAGCGACCGGCACTTGGAGCATGTTCATACGAAGGGATCCTGTCGGCTTGTGCACGACAATATGCTGGACTACCTCGAACATTTTGTGAACGCATACAACGGTAAGTGTTTTCAGAACACCCCTGATATTAATAGGTCATCATTTAGTGTTGTGCTGGTCATGAGTAGTAGGTTTGAGATCATACCATCAATTCAAGAAATGTAAGTGAGACTCTCAAGGGTTACCAAAATTCTCGCTCACATGGTTTGTCTGGCTGGCACATGATGACACTTTGTGGTTGTATCGTAGCGACTACAAACTATACGACTTTTATCTGAAGAATAGAGATGCGGTGCGCTGAATAAAAGTGGTCTTTAGCTTGAGATTTACTCGATAATATTGTTAATTTTCAGCTCAGCAACTCATTCATCTTCTTTTTCGGTGACCACGGCCCACGTAATGGAGACGTAAGTAACCTGCATTTTCACTCGCATTTTTGAGAGCGGGATCAAAGAACCGTCTCAGCACTAGAGGAGTATAAACATGAAATAAGGATCTTCTGATGGTAGAATCATTCCCCTTCGATTCCAATGTGAACATACAATGTACCTTCTGAAAGTTGGCGCACACTTCAGAAGTCCGAATGAGAGAACGACTGAAGGGTAAAAATTATGCCAAAATTAGAGTATCTCTAGGCTGTCCTACGTATCAGTGCTCCCTGTCATTTTTAAAAATGTTTTCCCCATCGTTCCGCAATAACACATTATGCGGACACTACCTCGGAGATGGCCGTCAAGAATCTTGCAGAAACATCTACCTTACTGTTGGAAGGATTAAGGCCTTCGTAATTTGCGAACTAACAATTTCAATTCTCTATGAAAAAATCATTATGGAAAGTTTAAAAAGTTAGGATCTTCTTGAGCGCACTTGGCAGTACCACCTTCCAAGTTGACATCGATGAAGATGAAGGAGAGATCCATAGATGCTAATATATTGTAGCCTCCTTTTGTAAACATCAACTCTAGTTCTTGAGTAAGCCAGATTATGCATTAAAGGACGAATTCACGATTAGAATGAAGATCGAAGAAGTGATAGATATTGCATCAAGTTTTCTGGTATTGGCAGGGCCTCTCAGAAAAATTGGACACAGTCTAATATGTTCCATGTAAATGCCTCTGCCAAATGCAGAAGACCATTTTGCAAAAGTGCTTCATATCCTCAAAGACTTTTCTGTTTAGAAACGCGTTCTTCTGATTATTCCGCTGATAGGCTTTCATTTTTTAAATAATAATTCATTGGGCGGAAGTGGTGTAGTGGCAAGTGGCGCGCTTACCACGCGAGCGGTCCGGGGATCAAATCCTGGGTCGTGAGTCGCCCGGGCCAACCAAGCCTTCCATCCCTCCGGGGTCGGTTAATTGGTACCAGACTTGTCTGGGAGGATAAAAACACTGACTTGTACATCGGCTGGCCCCCGCAAGTCATTGTATAGGCCACATCGCATTCAAACGCCACTACGAATGTACAAATGGAAGTAGAATGCGTGCCGCATCCCAAAAAGGGATTGATCAACGGCAAATGCTTTATCCTTTATCCTTTATCCTTTCATTGACTTGTGCTTTTCCTTTTCTATTTTATCTTCCTGCTTTATATTTTCCATCCAATCTTCGTGCTCGAAAAGCTTGAAGGAATCTTCGCGGAAAATTCTTGCATTCTTTCTTGACATGAATGTGTCAGTTGTGATCACTGGAAATAGCACACAAAGTTTCACGCATGAAGATTCGGTTTCCGAAGAGAAACAAACGTACAAAAACTACACGTATGGACATCGAAGGTAATTCGGGCGGAGCCAAAGGCGAGGCATGGAAAGAAGTTGGCCTTTGGCCGGCTACGTATCAGGCGACGCAATGAAAGATCGGTTAAAGCGCGCGATTTCGGAGAGTAGAGACAAATCGATCGATAGAATAGGATGGAGTAGAAGTGTAAGATGTGAATGCAATAAAGCAGAAGGCCAGAAAGAGTTTCTAGTGAAGGCACTCCAAGAACCAAGTTTGAAGCATCCCCGTCGCCAGCATTTGTGAAAGACGTCCGTGGGCACTTTGAACGCGTAGCAGCCCTTTCGATTTTTCGAATTTTTACCAAAACAAAAGCAATATTTCTGTTCTTTTCATTCTTATCGTGGATAATGAGTCTCAAGCCAGTGATTTATGGCTGAAATAGAATCATGATTTTTCCGTGAAGGATTCCTTTAAGTGTCGTACGTAGGCTCAAAAAAAGCTAAATTGCAGAAAATCCAGTGGAATGTAAAGGGCACGTGACTAACTACGGAATGTATGCGTGGTTGATTTTATTATCTTCAGAGGAAATTGTTCAAAGTAATATGAACAGAGTAATCTCGTAGACCGGACAAATTGCCGTGTAGCCTAAAACTTCACACTTCACTTCACTTTAACTCATAACTTATAGCGAATTGCTCAGAAAAGCTGTGTTGGTAGGTACAGGGTACATAGTTGATCGATTTCTCGAGGAGGGAAAAAGTCAGAAGTTAGTTCTCTGGTTGGCTGATTTCGTAGACTTGATCGCCCATTTTGCAGGTCTGCAATTGAGGGCCTTTGCAACGCATGAGGGAGCGAAACATCATTTTGTAGAGTTGATAAAATTTCGAATAACGATGGTTGATAAAACATGGGAATATTTCAAGATTTTCTATTCGGCAGGAAAAAACGACACTCTCTATGTTGCATTTTCTCTAGGGAACCACCTGACAGTTCGAACAAGGAGAAGGGGCAAACTTCCCTCTACTCTTGTAGCCCTTCTACCGGCTTCGGGCTTAACTTATTTCGGAGTTTTAGGAGATTGTTGCCTAATGCATTGAGTTTTATGAACAACTGAAGTTTTTTGCAGGAAGCCTACACCAAATTCGGTATTAGCGAACAAAACAATCCCTTCCTGTACGTGGTATTGCCAAAGCATTTGAGGCACACAAAACTCCATCAACAACTAATGGCAAATAGCCAAGAACTTGTCACCCCTCACGATTTACACTCTACCCTCGAAGATATTCTTTATGTAAGGTTTTAGCTTCTTTGAGTAGCTATGTTAGATTTAGAAGATAATTTATGCTGATTTAAAATAGACACGCAAACGATATTGCGGTCAATCAAAGGCAACATGTCTTTGGAGTGCATAGTCTGTGAAGACGACGTGCGGAGCAGCAAGGCATTGTGGGAAGGGTTTTCAGAGGAAATATTAGGTTGTTGTATTATAAACGTCGCTTTTGAATGTGTGCGTGAAATCTGTTGAAACAGCAGCAACGCGGCACCTAAGAACTACCTACGTACTTTTCGTGTCAGACTTCGCCAATATTCACTCAGAGACTCGATGCTCTTCTTGTGAATTCTTGCAAGTGGGCGCAGGCAAATAAGAAATGGCGAAGCCAGAATTTTTGTAGTTTCGGGATAGTTTCTCCTTCAAAACACGCCGCGTTGAATCAGATGCGCAACACTTTTAGGTTGGCTGAAATGTATAGGACGCGATTTTACCCGCTTGCTAGCCCTGAGCCGTGGTATTTTCGGGACTTCTTGAAATTTTCAGCTTGAAAGAAGCCTCATAAGTTGTTTGGTCCAAAAATCATCTGAATACTCGCTTTCTTTGTTCTTCTAGTTTCATTAGCATCGACCCGTAATCAGGAGTCTGCTCAAGGACGGCCTCCGAGCAAGAACGGGATCCGAATTTGCGACTTCGCAAAGTGACTCGATTTCCCCTCTTCTACTCTTCAAGTGGCTTCGCTACTCTTAAGGTTAAAGTACACATATATTTGATCGCAACAAATGGGTTATGGAGAAGTATGCAGGATGAGGGCAGTCACGTAGAGGAGGGCCACTCGGAGTCAGCGTAGGTCACAACGCTTTCATTCTCAGGTTCTGCCGTCAATCCTACCAGCAGATCTCAAAAATTGACCCTATGCTTTAGAGTTACCTTTTCTACCTGTGTTGGTTTTCATTGGCACTCCGATCAATGGGCTAATAAAATGCAGAAGGTTTCTGCGCAAGCTCGAGGTGAGCCGCATTTTCTACGATTGAAGCTAGACGCAGTCGTTGCCAGAAAGTGAGAGCAAGTCTCCGAAATACCGTTCGGTTAATAACGGTCTCCTCTGCCGAAAGTATGACAGATCGGGAGGTGCAAAAGTTGAGCTCCATTGATATTTATCTAGAAGTTGAATATTATTTTATTATATTTATCTAGAAGTCTAGATGTTGAAATCAACTCTTAGATCTTGCAGAGGACTTTGATGAGGTACGGCATGTCGATATGAAATCACGAGCATTCTGCTCAACGACTATTTGCGCTCCTATGAGTTGGGCTCTATAATGCACTCTCAAACCGATCAGTGCCGTTCTGGACTTGCACACTTCCCCGGCCACCAGAGCAAGAATTTGTGACCTTTCTCTCCCAGGCCTTCAAACTGATGGATTTCTCTATGTCTGGATGTTGAGAGCAAGATCTCAAAGACTTCTACAGCTCGGTGGGTGCTCTGAAGTTAGCGCTTCAGAAGAGGTGGGACGACATCGCCGTTGGCTACCTGCGGCGCACTGCTGATTTTGTCGTTGGACGTCAGAAGGCCTCTCTCAAAGCAGAGTCATCAAAATTGAAAGCACCTTTTGCACAATGATGTCACATAGACCGACTGTATCCTTCTGTGAAGTTTGTTTGGTAATAGAGCTTCCTTCTTGACTTTTACACTCAAAAACATGACGTCCTATACTTTTCAGCCACCCTGTAGATGGAGTGTAATGAGAGCTGTTTGGCTTAGAAGTCAGATGTCTTCAGTCTGGTCTCGCACTTTCTTGGTGATCATTTATGTAGAATTTAGCTTTTTCGTTATGAAGTGAGCTTATAAGGTCATTGTTGCTCCTTCGTGCCGAGTCAATGTACGGTTGGGATGCTTTTTGTTTACGAAACCTGCCATGACCGTGTTAGCTGGATTGAGCTCCTCATAATGCTAGATAACGTTTACGTGCACCTCGAATTCGAACTTGAATTTCGGAAAAAAACCCAAGCAAAAAAAAACAAAATAATGTGGCCGTAGACAGACTCTGTCCTCTTTCGTATGAATACACAACTACCTTCGGAGATTTGGGAGCTGCCCAGGGGGCTGAAAGCAAGTGTGTGCGGCATTTACATTGCAACAACCTAATAATTGGAAATATGCCAGAAAGAAGCCGTGCCGTTGCTATTCAGTTTACAACAGGGATTACATGGAGTAGAGGCTCCAACTCAATCATATAGGTGTAAAAACTATATTCTCAAAACCGAGAATTAGAAAGGCATGTAAAAATCAGCACTGCATTCAGCGACTTTCTGCGAAGAATTTTTCGGATATAACATTCAAACGCTTCGACAGTGATCCTCATGGCTCATCCTTACTCAGGCAGTTCGAGAGCGGCATTCAACGGACATGCAAAACATTACCAATACCATTTCAGTACTGCATATGTCAGTACAAAAAGGAAAATGTCACGTGAGTTACATTTGAAAAGAATAGGAGCACGTGAGGTATATATAAATCATTTCAATCAATCATCATCAGCATTTGGACCCAAATTCACAAAAATTTGCTGTGCAGTCGTGATTCATATGTCTTTCTCGCGATAAAAAAAGTACCGAAGCAGATTAGGATGAAGGGTTAGAAAAACTATATGAGGGTTTGGTCAATCCAAGTCTCCATGGTATTGTTGAACAGGCCGCTCTCTAGCCAAGCGTAACTCTTATGGGGTTCTTAAATATACAGTTGTCCTAAAGAAGGTCCAAGGGAATTCGACAAGTTGATGCCGCCAGCTCTTTTCCCCGCAATTGCGCACATCTCGCACTTCCAGCAATGCACAAGTTGAACTAGCTGAGCTACAAAATTGTGCTGCGACCATCTTACACAGTAGACCTCTTGCCTACCAACTGCCACTTTTCCAGCCATCTAAACAGCCTTTTCAAAGAGATCAAACGTTGAAACCCAGCAAGGCTGTGAAATGACCTTCGCCTTTTTTCGCATACAGAGCTGCCAGCCTTTTCACCTATCAGACCTAGTGAAAAACCTTCTTGTAGGCTACTATATAGGGATCTCAATTTGGATCAAGAATGTTTAATTTCAGCCAGAGATATGCACATTTGGATTTGTGGGTCAAAATCGGCAGAATCTTTCCAAACAAGCCTTTATAAACACTTCCGCTTTTTCACCTCCAATTTTTAGTCCAATCTTCCTTTAATCGTGAACGGTGCATTTATATGATGATGCTACAGGCTATAATAGATCTTCATTACAGTGATGCAATTCTAGCAAAGGAGCTCGGACTTTTTGCTGCAAAGGGATTAGCAGCGATACTAGATTCCGAGAATGTTTCTTCCCAGTGCGAGAAGATTGTGATGGACAAAGCAAGACTTATTATATTGCGAGGTCACAGTTTCTTTGACTATGATTTGATTACTTCTCCTTCAGGTTGTCGAAGCTCAAAAATATGTTTTACCTCACCAAAATGCTACCCAGTTTGATTTCGCCCTGTATGAAGTCACTTTTATTGTAGCTTCTCCGGCTCTGGGTAGATTCAAGGTGTGTGGTGAACTTTTCTTGCTCTGAATTTCCGCTTTCTATTCCGTGATAATTATAGTGCAGTTAAGATACTGATTCGAGAGGATCTAGTGGGAGATTGGAACTGGCAGGAGAACAGTTTGACCGTCTCGACAGGTACGGCAACCATGGGGATTGTATGACAAAGGATACACTGAAGCCGTTATGCACATGTAAGAAACAGAGTACTACTAAACGAGCTTGATATTCCATGAAAGCATCGGCCAAGTGTGGATTCGAGGTGGTGAAGATGTTCTCACAGATTTGTAAAAGAATTCACTACTCTGAGTGCTTGTATGTAGGCTAAGCTATCATATCAGATTAGCCTCTATTTACTTTCTGACGTTGAAACAGCGGAACGTAAGCGATCGATTTTGTTAATGTATTCGGGCGTGGTCCCCACAGCGTTTATTGAATATTGTGATAATATATTATATTATAACACCAGTTTGGCTGCGCACGCATTCGCGTGCATGAGACGGGGCTGCAGCGGTAAAATCGGGCCCATCAGTATTTTTGTCTTGATTTTAGCTTTCTGCTCGGTACATCTTACTTACGCCGCAAACTCCGCCCACATCCGGGTGTGCCACGCCCAGCGTTCACATTCAACCTCTACTCCTACTTTCACCTCAGGCATATTTTTTTTCAGGTCTCTAAGTCATCTCGGAGCCGAATTATGAGGTCTTGTAAATGGCGTTATGAGTCACGAATTTCTGAGGCAGACCCCGCCCACTTTGGTGCATGGTTAGCCCAACAATGGCATTCAACCCTACTCCATACCTCAATACTTATGCACATTTTCCCCGGTCGCCGGAACTTCTAGGAACCGAGTTATGAGAGCGGTGGCAAACTCCGCCCACATCCGGGTGTGCCACGCCCAGCGTTCACATTCAACCTCTACTCCTACTTTCACCTCTGGCATATTTTTTTTTCAGGTCTCTAAGTCATCTCGGAGCCGAATTATGAGGTCTTGTAAATGGCGTTATGAGTCACGAATTTCTGAGGCAGACCCCGCCCACTTTGGTGCATGGTTAGCCCAACAATGGCATTCAACCCTACTCCATACCTCAATACTTATGCACATTTTCCCCGGTCGCCGGAACTTCTAGGAACCGAGTTATGAGAGCGGTGGCAAACTCCGCCCACATCCGGGTGTGCCACGCCCAGCGTTCACATTCAACCTCTACTCCTACTTTCACCTCAGGCATATTTTTTTCAGGTCTCTAAGTCATCTCGGAGCCGAATTATGAGGTCTTGTAAATGGCGTTATGAGTCACGAATTTCTGAGGCAGACCCCGCCCACTTTGGTGCATGGTTAGCCCAACAATGGCATTCAACCCTACTCCATACCTCAATACTTATGCACATTTTCCCCGTCGCCGGAACTTCTAGGAACCGAGTTATGAGAGCGGTGGCAAACTCCGCCCACATCCGGGTGTGCCACGCCCAGCGTTCACATTCAACCTCTACTCCTACTTTCACCTCAGGCATATTTTTTTCAGGTCTCTAAGTCATCTCGGAGCCGAATTATGAGGTCTTGTAAATGGCGTTATGAGTCACGAATTTCTGAGGCAGACCCCGCCCACTTTGGTGCATGGTTAGCCCAACAATGGCATTCAACCCTACTCCATACCTCAATACTTATGCACATTTTCCCCGGTCGCCGGAACTTCTAGGAACCGAGTTATGAGAGCGGTGGCAAACTCCGCCCACATCCGGGTGTGCCACGCCCAGCGTTCACATTCAACCTCTACTCCTACTTTCACCTCAGGCATATTTTTTTTCAGGTCTCTAAGTCATCTCGGAGCCGAATTATGAGGTCTTGTAAATGGCGTTATGAGTCACGAATTTCTGAGGCAGACCCCGCCCACTTTGGTGCATGGTTAGCCCAACAATGGCATTCAACCCTACTCCATACCTCAATACTTATGCACATTTTCCCCGGTCGCCGGAACTTCTAGGAACCGAGTTATGAGAGCGGTGGCAAACTCCGCCCACATCCGGGTGTGCCACGCCCAGCGTTCACATTCAACCTCTACTCCTACTTTCACCTCAGGCATATTTTTTTCAGGTCTCTAAGTCATCTCGGAGCCGAATTATGAGGTCTTGTAAATGGCGTTATGAGTCACGAATTTCTGAGGCAGACCCCGCCCACTTTGGTGCATGGTTAGCCCAACAATGGCATTCAACCCTACTCCATACCTCAATACTTATGCACATTTTCCCCGGTCGCCGGAACTTCTAGGAACCGAGTTATGAGAGCGGTGGCAAACTCCGCCCACATCCGGGTGTGCCACGCCCAGCGTTCACATTCAACCTCTACTCCTACTTTCACCTCTGGCATATTTTTTTCAGGTCTCTAAGTCATCTCGGAGCCGAATTATGAGGTCTTGTAAATGGCGTTATGAGTCACGAATTTCTGAGGCAGACCCCGCCCACTTTGGTGCATGGTTAGCCCAACAATGGCATTCAACCCTACTCCATACCTCAATACTTATGCACATTTTCCCCGGTCGCCGGAACTTCTAGGAACCGAGTTATGAGAGCGGTGGCAAACTCCGCCCACATCCGGGTGTGCCACGCCCAGCGTTCACATTCAACCTCTACTCCTACTTTCACCTCAGGCGTATTTTTTTTCAGGTCTCTAAGTCATCTCGGAGCCGAATTATGAGGTCTTGTAAATGGCGTTATGAGTCACGAATTTCTGAGGCAGACCCCGCCCACTTTGGTGCATGGTTAGCCCAACAATGGCATTCAACCCTACTCCATACCTCAATACTTATGCACATTTTCCCCGGTCGCCGGAACTTCTAGGAACCGAGTTATGAGAGCGGTGGCAAACTCCGCCCACATCCGGGTGTGCCACGCCCAGCGTTCACATTCAACCTCTACTCCTACTTTCACCTCATATTTTTTTCAGGTCTCTAAGTCATCTCGGAGCCGAATTATGAGGTCTTGTAAATGGCGTTATGAGTCACGAATTTCTGAGGCAGACCCCGCCCACTTTGGTGCATGGTTAGCCCAACAATGGCATTCAACCCTACTCCATACCTCAATACTTATGCACATTTTCCCCGGTCGCCGGAACTTCTAGGAACCGAGTTATGAGAGCGGTGGCAAACTCCGCCCACATCCGGGTGTGCCACGCCCAGCGTTCACATTCAACCTCTACTCCTACTTTCACCTCTGGCATATTTTTTTCAGGTCTCTAAGTCATCTCGGAGCCGAATTATGAGGTCTTGTAAATGGCGTTATGAGTCACGAATTTCTGAGGCAGACCCCGCCCACTTTGGTGCATGGTTAGCCCAACAATGGCATTCAACCCTACTCCATACCTCAATACTTATGCACATTTTCCCCGGTCGCCGGAACTTCTAGGAACCGAGTTATGAGAGCGGTGGCAAACTCCGCCCACATCCGGGTGTGCCACGCCCAGCGTTCACATTCAACCTCTACTCCTACTTTCACCTCTGGCGTATTTTTTTCAGGTCTCTAAGTCATCTCGGAGCCGAATTATGAGGTCTTGTAGGGGACGAAATCGAGCAACGTATCGTTGTGGTAAACCCCGCCCACTTCGTTACATGCCTCGCTCACCGATACCAAATGACTATCATCTCTTCCCCAACCTCATTCTACTATTTTCCCATCTCCGGAACTTATTGGATCCGAGTTATGAAGTACCGTGGCAAACTCCGCCCACTTTAATGCATGCTCCACCTGCCCACAGCACTTGACCCCCTTCCCTCTGCCAACACTTATACGCTTTTCCCCACACCCCGGGACTCATAGGAACCGAGTTATGAGGCTGGTTGCAAACTCCGCCCACTTTGGTGTAAGCTACGCCCAGCCTTGACATTTAGCTTCTCCTCTTCTCCTAACCTGTATCCACTGTTTTCAGGTTTCCAAGTCATCTCAGAGCCGATTTATGAGCTCTTGTAGAAAACGTCGTCTACTTCAGGACACGCTCCGCCCATTGTGGGCGGACCTCCGTTCACATCATGTGTGCTGGAAATACCTTAGACATCGCTGCCCTGCACTAATTTCTTTTCTGCTCTGTAGGCTTCCTCCTAACCTAGTTATTGATATTTTTATTGAGCACCGCTTTTCCAGAGAACGCCCCGCCCACCGAGGGTGGGTCTCCCCAATGCAATCTGGCTTACCGACGCACATTTATAACCACTTTTTGTTCCAGTCTCGAGGCTGTTTTTGACTGTATTTGGAATCAACCGATGCACGCCACGCCCACTGTGGGCGGGGCTCCGCTTGGCTGATGTGTGTTTTTTACTTCTAGGGATATGGTATACCCATCCCAAACTTGACCTGGACCCTGTAGGTTGTTGTTCGCTTGATACCGAATTTCGTGACAGACGGACAGACAGACATAGCGCATTATATATAGTAGGGATATTAGGTGTTTCAGAAAGTTCTGTCGTTTTCTGACACTCCACTTTTGGATGCTTTATTTCCCTTGAAATCTAGGAAAGCTGCAATTGATGTTGATATCATTTTGAAGAGCTTTTCCAGCTCTATCCAATGCTTAGCTCAACTTTGTCCTAAAATATTTTCTTATAGCTTTTTCAAAGCTTTGAATGCGGTATACTCGATGAGCAAGTTGGCATGACTTTCTTTTTCTAGCTTTAAATAGACCTGAAAGTGGCGGGAACAGTTCAAGATATTAACGATGCTTTGGCCTAGATTTGCAATAAATGTGCTCAGAAGCAGTAGTTAAAAAATTTATTGTAACGAGAGCCTTGAATATGATGAGAGTAGTGGTCGGATATCGGACGGTGTCTCCGATTAGCCAAAAGTTCTGATTGAAGCACTCGTGCGTAAGACCATAGAGGGTTCTGCCCAACCTGGGCGTATATGGTTTGTACAGCCAAGCTATACGGAAGAAGCTGGAAAGTCCAAAAAATTTGATAGGGGCGTGCCGCGACAAATCACCAATTTGAAGGGTCGTCCATCAAATTGTCGCTTGTTTTATGTGATAAAAGCGACTCGTTTCTCTACAGATTTGCGACGTACAATAAAGAGCGGATTCTTCTCTATAGTCCACGAAGGTTTGCTGAATAGATCGACGGCGATGAAGCTCTACAAACTTTGCAGAATTTAAACTGTGCTGGAGGAGGGTTGTGGCAGCTTTCATGGGTCAGCGGCTGGCCATGTTCTTCA